TCCCACAATGTGTCAGAGCAAACAGTGATTCTGACACATGCCTACAGTCCTGGTGCTCATTCATGTATGGCAGTGATAAGGCACTTGCATTGCAGCCACTTCAATGCCCAATTTATTTCTACAAAAAACAAATTGTAGAATTTGAATCTTTAGAATCTTAAGAATCTTTCATAAATGGTGTAAGATTTTACACATATTAGAACAAGGCAGTAGGAAAGTGCAATTTTAGAATCTAGCTAAGTACTAGATATAGTTGTAGAGCAAGAAGAAAATCAAGAGCTTAATTATTACCCTCTTAGTCACATTTCTTCATATATGTCTGGTTTATATCTGTTGCCTATACTTTAAAACCTCTTTAGATGGTTCAAAATAAATGTGGCATATAAGCTACATGCTCTCCTACCCTGGTCCAGCACTCCAAGCCAAAAAATCAAATTAATAGACAGACGTTTACATTTTGGCTTCACAACAAAGATAGGCCATCCCTCTCTGTGATCCAAATAAATAAAACAAAATTTAAAATAAAAACCAAACCAAAAAATGGTTAGAGTGGCAAGTCATAGACAATATGGCAGAGGTAGAAAAAGTACACAGAAAAGAAATTTCAAAGATTAATTTGAGCATGAGGAATGATATTTCTAACAAACTGTGCAGGTGAAAACTGAGCAAATTTTGGTAGAAGAGATCTTCAAAACACAAGCTATTTATACTCTCTCAAGTCTCACTCATTCCTGTAAAGGGTCACCTAATTTTTTTGCCTCTGCCTAGTTCCAGGCTTTTCCCACCACTTTCTTCCCACCTGCCTTCTGCCAGGAATGAGGGACAATTTCTAACAGGGCAAGGAAACAAAAGGATGGTAGGAAAAGAGGAGGAAGAGGCAAATGCTTCTGGGTCTTCACTCCAGCTTCACAGCTCAGAATTTAATGCACAGTCCAAATGAATGCAAGGAAACACTTTATCAGAAAATGAAAAGGGATTAAACCCTGCATTCAGCATCACATCAGCAGGACAGAAGTCATCCCTTTAAAACTTAGATGTAATAGCAAAGAACCTTACACACTACAACTGCATTGTGAACACATCACCTAGAAACAGGCAGCTCTAAGTTGGATAACACTGAAATTGAAAATACCGACAAAATTTCAGCCTGTGGTTTCCAGGTGCCTCACCCAGGAGCAGCAGGTCCTTCTTCCTACTAACAACCCATAGAGCAAGGTCTAGCACTGATGAAAGAAATCAGACTTTACTCTAGGCTTTGTGATGATATCCCTTCGTAAATTGGATTTGCCATCTTGCACCCTTCTTCTCAGGAAAAAAATAGTGATTATATCTATTTAAAAAGCAGGCTCAGAAAGCTTTCCTCTTCCCTTCCTGAGGAAAAACAAATCTTGGCAGCTAAAAATAAATCAAAACCTGGGGAAATGAAAAATTGAAAAAGAACTGAGAGATGAGATATATTTAGGTTTTTGAAGATCAAGAAAGGAACATACATGACAGGTACAGAGGTTATCACCAAAAAAATTAAAACAGCCCTGGGAGATGAAGACTGTGGGTTTAGGCAGGGGCATTCAATCTGCAGCCCAAGTCCACTTCAGCTGATATTAAGGTGGCAAAGTCCCAAATAAGAATTTCTAGCTAATAAAGCAGAGCCACACACCAGTTTCAGGTCAAACATAAACATGTATTTTTGCTAAATAGTAACAAAAATGTTCTGGAATTAATTAAAAGACCAACTAGCTACAAGTCTAGATAGAAGCATGTAGAAAAACGCATTTTTCTTCTGCTCACAAAAGTTTTTCAGTCTTTTGATTAGTCTTCTGTGAAAGGAAAAAAGCCTTTTCATTTAAAAGTTAATAACTTTCTCATATATAATATGCTACAATCTGCTTGCACTGAAATTTATGGCTAACCTTACCTTTGCAATCTTGGCAAAAGGTATCTATCTGAAGATTGGAGATACACTGCTTCTAATATTTCCTTAGATTGTTGGCTCATTTTATGCACAATACAAACAGCTGAATTTCTACTATCAAGGACAAACCATTATACTGTCCTTTGTCCTCGGTATTTGTATATAGTTATTGATAGCTTTGTGTACCACGAGCAAATATTTGCTTTTGACTCTCATATTTTTAATTTTTTTTCTTTAATAGAGACGCTTTTGTTTGTATACAGCCAGTTCCTGTCAGGCAATGCATGATAAGCATCACCTCTTGATCCTGTCCTGAACAACATCAATAGTAAGGCCAGGGCTGCATCAATTATCTGCAGGGGAGATGCCTTGGCCCACTACAGCGCTTACACTGCACACAGCTCCCAGCCAAGGGCAGAGACAGATGCCTGCTCAGCTCCAGGGTGACAGAACATCACACAGCCATGCTCATCCCCTGCTTCTGCAGCTCAGAGAAGCTGAGTGCTGAAGAAATCATGAATTTAACATGGTGCTTAGGAGTATCTAGCATGTGGCGTTCCAAAGTTATATTTTCAGTGCTTCAATCCCTAAAAAGTAAAGGAGTTCACTACTGCTAAGGGCAGAATAATTTACTTGTCTCCTCTTTAAAACTTCACTCAGATTCATATTATTGGTGTAAAAATATTTTTACTCCAGCTGAAACTCTACATCCGCATCTTTGACTCCAGCCAGCCATTCACAACCTGAGTATTTTCATTCCTGAGGGGTGTTCACAAAGTATTTTTAATTTTTAATTTGCCTCCACCCAGTTTACATTGTTTTCAGCCCAGATACAGCTCCAGTGCACCTCTCCAATAACTGATCAGCAGGGAGCACAGGATTATGGACCAGTCAGGACAGCGAGGCAGGCAGGCCATGTAGCAATAATGATACACCTGCTGCTGAAAGCTGCACCAGTGAGGCAAAACAAAGTTTGCTGACTACAATGGTGCTGTTTCAATAGCCCAGTTGAAGGACCCAGGTCACCTGCTTCTTTGTAAGTGTTCCAGGTTCAGTGTTCAAGCATGGCCCACAGCAAACAGCAGATACATAACACAGCCAAAGGATGGAGAGAAAAGAGCACCCACGCATCGTCTCCACAGTAGCAGGTAGGCTACTGCCTATTGCATATTTCAATCAAATGTCAGTAGCCCTCTACAAATATAGAGCATATATATGCATTTACAGGGCAATGCATACTTTGAGCTCCTATATACCTGCAGAAAAATGAATAAACAGTGCCAGTGGAAAGCCATAAGGTTGTCACCTAGATAAGTTGCATAAATCTAATATTTCAGATCGCTGAAAATAGACTTTGGCTGTTTGATTCAACCATAAATCAGGATCCCCGTTAATCTGGATTTAGAGTGGCTTTCCTGTGCAGTTTTGAGAGTCTCAAAGGAATATACTGTTCACTGATTTATGTACTAGTCTTGCTGAAAAGTTGATTTACCTTTGCTTTCTGCAAACAGTGAATTGCAGCTCACTGGTTTCTCTGAATACGCAAAGCCTGTACTGTATATAAAGGTGACAGAGTTTGACAGTTTGCAGCTAAGTAAATCACACTGATCCCTGCATTTGCCTTGAGATTTACAGTGCATGCTATAATCTAGCCCCCCAGTGCAAACCCAGAAAATACAGCCAATTAGGAAAGTGTTTTGGCATCTTTTCATATGCTGGATCTTTTTTCATTTATCCATTATCTCAAAATCACTCTATCTAACAAATTCCCCTCAGAAGAACACTGCCAATGACACCTAGAAATGTTTTCAAAATTAATTTGACAATTATCTCAACCAGGATATTTTAGCTCTTGAAAAAAATCTTGGGCTTTAAGAAGTTTCCTTTAGATTTCCAGCAATGCTTGCTTGCTTTAATATAAACCACTGCATACATTCACAATTAAAAGAGCAACAGAAGCAAGCATAAACTTCAGAGCCTTTCTTCTCTGCAAGCAAAAGAACTAGGCTCACCATAGGCATCTCTACATCAGGGAAAGTAAAAAAAAAGAACACAACAACAACCAAACCAACCAACCAACCAGTGGAGAGTAGCAGCATTCACATTATGAATTGCAGTCAGTAATCTCCATACCCATTGCTTCTGCACATTTGATAAGAATACTATAATATTTATTTCCATGCATGTGATAAAATACAAACCTATGATCAGTTACAACACTATAACAGATATTTCAGGACAACACATCTTCTCAAAGTCATTTAGCCAACCCATTTACCATATTCAATATTTGCAAATTCATATTCTTTGCCTACAGAGGTGACCCAGATGCCACAATATTGCAGATACTGAGATAGCAGATATTTTTCTTTCTGCTGCTCTATTTGGCAAACTATAACTTGACACATTCTTTATAGGAATTTTTCATGCTTCTGGAAAGAATTGTGCGCCTCGTTGGCCAACTGAATAATGCAGAAATATTATCCCCTTTGTAGAAAATTATGCTGCCACTGTCACAATATGAAGACAGCATAATTTGTAACTCCTTCTCTCCCTCCTCCTTTCATTTTGGCCTGGATACTGTGTCACATATCAAATTTCAAGCCATTTTTCATTTTAGGAGCTAATCTGTTTGGTTACTGGAGTGGAATGACAGAACACACCTGTGATCAAAGGGGAAAGTAGATGGAAAAAAACATCTCCTGAGTTCATGTACATCCATTACCATGACCTTGCTACATAGTGCTTCATATAGATTTGGTCAATTATTAGACATTTGACAGTTACTTCCAGCACAAAGAAACTATTGAGCAAGTTTGGCATGCATTTTGTTCTTTATTAATTGAAACTGTCTCAAGCAATGACTTGAGAGAGGTCAAATATCTCTTGATAAAAAACATTTAAAAATTCTTTCTGTATAAAGGGGCATATTCACAGTGACAAAATCCAGAAATCACCATTCTTTAAGATGGAACAAGACCACCCTCTGCTACCCAAACGAACAGAGTATCAGAACCTTCTTTAGTGAAGAAAACCCAGACTCAAGACCTGGCTTAAACTCATTAAGGGTTTTCAAATCCAGATTAGGCTAATTCAGTGTTTTCCCCTAGGAGCAGTTTTAAGTGCTTCTTTTGTTCCAGTGAGGAACAAAGGAAACCAGATTTTGAGTGCTGCAGTTTTTCCACAGAGATGGAACTTTTCTCACCCAGTCACTTCTAATTATCTTCACTCAGATGATGAGAGCACTGACACATGATGGGATTGCAAGGATTACAAGACAAAGCCAAGGGCCACGATCCCAGCCCTGCACTGCCTCAGCCCTGCGAGGAGGGACAGGGCTGCTGGCACCACGCTGTAATGAATGTTTCCCTTACGGCTTACGGATTTCTAAACCAACCTTGGGATTTCATTCTCTTTTTCTTCCAAGCTCTGTCTCAACAGCAGAGCATGCTCAAACTAGGAAAGGGAGGAAAAAAGGTGTAGAAGGAATCACATCTGAGCGGGCTGTGAAGAACTTGGTTATCAGTTCATCTCTGGTACACGTTGCTGATTCTGTCCTCTGTTTAATACCTGGGTCATGTTCCCCTTCATGGTTTTCCGGATCAGCAGGAAATAATAAATAATGAAGAAATAAAGCCAATTCTAGCTGCTTATTTGCTTCCTTCCTTCTTTCAGCTGGGAGTGGGAACTAGATGATCTTTAAGGTTCCTTCCAACACAAGCCTATGACTCCATGACTCATTTGAAATAATAAATTATTTGTTGTATCATCTTCCATTGCTACAGAGGCAACTACAGTAGAACAGAGGGTATTGTAAATTCAATTAATGTCAAAGGTTTGGTAAATTCTTTCAATTGAAACAAATGGATGGCCTGCTCACGTGACCCACTACAACATCAAGAACAACAACAAAAATCACAGAAATCAAAATGAGGAGCTGCCTCCTTTCCTTCTCTCCATCCACCCCATGGAAATATTTCCCATGACTGAGTAATGTAAAATCATCTAGAAAATAAAGGATTTTGAAAACTGCCTCTAGATTAAAAATAAAAAAAATTATCACTTTTCCATCCATTTTAATGAAAGTTATTCAAAATGCAAGATATCTGTCCAGACAAAGCAAGAAAGTGTAAATATATTATTCTGTAACTATTGATTTTCCTGGAAAACCTTGCATTGTTACAAGACGCATTTTCATTGTTTCATAGATAATGGAACCGTTTTCTCATCTCTTGGTAAACTCTTCCCTCACTGGTATGAGATTCCCCATGTCTCTTCCCCTGAAGGATGAACAATAAAACACATTCATCATTTTCTATTAAGGATTCCAAAAACAGGTGTTAGAAATCTCAGAGATACTCATTGCAAAATCATTACGCCATCTTTACAAGCAGAAAACATGAGCTTCCAAATGCCATCCTGTTCCAGTAGCATGAGACACTGGCACCCAGCACAAAACCAGCAAGCCAAATAAGATGGCACTCCCAGTAATAAACAGTGTGCATTTGCTCAAAGGCAAACTTGTCTCATTGTGGGAAATAGCTAGAACTCTACAGCTAGGAAAAAGTAGGTTTTTTCCACTACCATCCAATATGTCATAGGAATATTGCCTCCAAAATAGCATGGAAGGCACCAACATGGAGGTACTGGACAGCATCCAAAATTCTCAGTTGCCCTCTCCCAGTGATCTGGTGTGCAATGAAGTCCAAGTATCACACAGCTCATACTGTACCTCCAGATTCAGGACTGGATTCTGCCCCAAGCAAACCCATGGGATTCCATGACTTTACAGACAAATGGAAAACATAAGCTTTAGTCTGCTTTTTTTGAGAGCTAGAAAAGTTCTCTGAACATCCCCTAACCAATAAGGTCAATGCATTTTGGAGACTGCTTTTTGCAATTGCAGAGGTGTCTGTAAGCTGATAGTAGTTTATGCAAAATGAAAAATTTGCATACCCTGAAAGCATATTTGTCAAATATTTGCAAAAACAACAACAACAAAAAAAAAGAAAACCAAATAAAAATAGAGTTTCTGTTGTGGAAACATTTTTGCTAACCAATTTCCATTTTCATATGCTCTTCTTATATTTTCTTATAGCTAAATAAAAAAAATAGCATAACTTCCTATTCTTTTAGTACCTCCACCTTGTTCTGAGATAGGAAGCTTAGTCAAACACTTGAGCAATTCAGAACAGAAAGAACTGTTGAGCTCTCATCTCAGATTTTTCTGGGAAAAAATCCCAGTTTGTCAAACTCAAATTTATCAGTTTTAAGTTTGAAATTTACCCATTTCTATTGTAGCAGGTATCTGAATGTGAAAATAAAAAAAAGGAGAGTGAAAAAGGGGAGAAGGGAACTCACTTAACTCTGCATAAGGCAGGATAACACCATACTCTCCAATGATGAATCTATCACCCACAGGCCCTGCAATTACAAAACCAAACAGCATGAAGATGATAAACAAAGAGCACATGGTCCAAAAGCTGTGACAACCCCCTCACATTAGGCCAGGGCTCAACACTCTTAAAGTTTCCTACTCAGCTTCATGCAGAATGGGTTCAACAAGAAGCCAGGGAAGGACCATTGTGCCCAAGGCACTTTATCTTTCATTACATGCAGAGCTTGGTTTTAAGAAATAGCGATTTTCCAGCAATATGTTTTCACAGGGAAAATTCCCAAAAGTATAGTCTTAAAAGAAAGCCAGCCTCCAGATCAGAAACCTAGATTAAATAACTTGAAGACATTTCCAAGAAATATCTGTTTCTTCCACATGAGTTTCCAAGTCTGTCCTCATCTATTCCTTCCTAATCTTCTATAGCTCTGTTGTTTGTTTGCTTTTCTTGTTAATGAGTTAGAAAAACCCTTTTCAGCTACAAGTGAATTGCAAAGGAAAAGAATACTCAATGGCATAAAGGATGACTTTCTTAGAGCAACACAAAGATTACAAAGACTGAAAAACACTCTGGGCTTGCTGATGGAGGGGCTGTAAATGGGAAGACAGGCAACTCACCTTGCGGCTCATTTTGAGGACAGAAAGTAGAAACATTAAAATTTCTAATACTGCACTGTTCATAGGCACTAAAACACTACAGCAATACCCGCAGAGAGACTTGAGCTTGTTCTGCCTGCAGTCCCAAGCTGACAAGAAGCCCACAGCTGTGGTTAGCAGGGCACCAGCCCAAGCTAATAAAGCTCAGCTGAGAGCAGGGCATGTTAGTTTAGGGCCAGTGCCACGCTGGTTTGTTAGATGGCTTCCAGTCAGCTCAGAGCATGCTCACACCTCCTTGTGAGCAATTGTGTGGCTTCTGCTTTAGACAGATGCAAAAACATAACACAGGAGCTCAAAAGTCTTCGGTTTTGCCGACACACACAGTAGTTAAAGGCCTCTGCAAGCCGATGTGTTAAGCTCTCCCTGTTGGTGGGTTATGCTCATTCCAGGTTCAACACCCTGATCCAACAGGTGCTTCTGCCCTTGGAAATGTGCCCCAGTAGAAAACTAAAAATGCTGCAGCCAGACAAAGATCTGGGGCTAGTTAAAACCCAAAATAGTTCCGGCATGTATTTCACAAAAGTGATCTACTATTTCAGGTTGCTGGAAAAAAATCCATGGAAACAAAAGACACTAGCAATGTGAAGTCACTAGTGGGTCTCATGAGATCCTTGTATGGTACACTGAGGAAGCTCATTGAGGTGCTCATGCTCTGGAATGTTGCATGTAACGATGTAATGTGGTGTTATGATATGCTTGTGACATGTTTACAGCTGACCTCTCTAATATGGTGTTTTAGAGGAGAGAGGGCTGCAGTGGAGATGAGGAATGGAAACTGAGAAAACACCTGTCATCATTCACCCTTTGAAGGTTAATACCACTTCTCTGAAGTATTCGACTCTAGTTTGAAAGAATAATTAATGACCTGCAGTGTTTTTGATAGGAGTAAGGGCTGCCATGATACTACTTCACAATTTAAACTGCTATTGCTCTTCTGAAATCTTCTTTGATTTCAGAAAATTTCTCAGACAGAAGCCTGCCAGGCCCAAGACACATAAAAATTGATATGGGTATCTAAATTATTATTATTATCATTGTCTGCTTCGTATAACTTTCTTCACTGGCAACCTGGTTTATGGCCTCTAGGAAACACAGGATCTTTCATAATTTTCTTCCAAAACAAAATTAACAGCAAGGGATTAGACTACCTATAAATTAACACAACTGCTCACATTTCACTGCCAAGCAAAAAGGCTGCTTCATTCTTTACTGTCAGGTCTCTCACACCTCTCATCTGTGGAAGAAGAGCAAAGACAAACTGCCAGGACTGACTGCATCTCTGAGGCAGTTGTCAAGCGAGCAGGTGTGCAGGTCTCCAAATTGATGCACTTCAGGCTGTCTGCTGACATCTATATGGCAGTGTGAGAGTCTGAATGTTGTAGTAATGCAAGGCAAGATCACTGAGAAAGGAGTATTTTTTGCCTGCACCTGGTTTGATGGATGTAGCCTCACAACTCTCAGGCTAATCCTGCTGTATGTGCAATGCATGGAAAATATCTACAGAGGAGTGCACTGCACGTGTGACTACACCACCAAATTGGGATGTGGGAACTGCAATAGGCTCCTGAGCAAGACCAAATTCCCAGAGCTTCTTTCCTCTCCTCAGTAAAGTGCAAAGCATAACCACACAAGTGCTCCCCTTACCTGCAGTGTTAGGGGGGGAAATATATTGTGTGTGCATGCAACAGGTGCTAAATGTATATGTCCTGATTTATGGTCACAGCATGTGAATACTGCACAAGATTTAGAAACCACCTCAGAATGAATTCCCAAACCCATTAACTGTCAAACTCTTCACACCTGCCAAGTCCAGACCCCCAGAATAATTCATAAGCATTCAGCAACTTCCCTCTTCCCCTGGGGACTTACTGTTATTTTAGCATTAACTTCACTGCCTGCATGAGTGTGATTGAGATCAATCTGTCTGATTCTCACAAAAACCTTGGTAAAGAAGGGGCACAGGCTTCTTATTTGGCGTCAATCAAATGTCAGGAATGAGATTTCTTTGACATTTACACAATGCCCCAGATTGAGAGATATTCATGGGATTTGAAAAGCAAAGGTTTTGTTGATATTTTTCTAAATTCACTAAGGTAAAGGTATGTTTGCACCACCCACAGCTGGAGTGACAGCCTTGTGCTGGATTTTGCTTGCATGCATTCTTCCCATGCCATATCCCTGTCTAATAAAAACAGGTGAGCCTTGGCCCTGGTCTCATGTACACTCATTTTCACTTGGTGGTTATGCTAGTCAAGACTTCTCTTACTGTCAAGAGAAAGCAGAAATTAGTTCCATCTCTATCTTTCATATTTAAAAGAGGGGCTGGGAAAGGGAGTCTGTTGAAAAACATCAAAGTTTCCAGATCAAGATCTAACCTGATAATTTAGGCCAGTTCTAGAAAGATTAAAATAAAATTAAACAAATCAAGTAAAACAACATACAATCCCCCTCCCAACAGATTTGTATTTCTTCTATAAGGTCTAATTGTAGTGGCCTTCCTCATGAAGAAAAAGGAAAAAAAAATCTGAGATTTCCATTATACACCATTTCACTTTGGCAAAGGTTTATACCTTCCTTTTCTTCAATTTTCTCCTTTGCAAATTGTGAACTTCAAAATTTTTGTATAGAAAATGGGTAAAAAATAATTTGTTCTATGTGGTATTCCATTAGTCCTGAACTAAAGTCTTTTTCATTTTAGAGTGGATATCTTTATTAAAAAAACAATATCCACAAACATTCAAATTTTTGGTTAATAAGGCCAATTTTCAATTTAGCGTGCAATTCTGGAAGAAAAAAACTTAGGCATGGAGACCTTTACTCCTTTGTAAACCTGTTTAATAAACCCTAATATCCATGTACTTTCTTCTACTAATTATGATACAGACAATTGAATTTTCACAGTCCTCTTTCTGTTCTGATATTTACGAGGAGCTAAAGGACTGATTTTATACACTGCAGATCCGAAAATTACTTTTGGACTTAACACAGTAATTTAAATGCCAAGAATTTAAAGGCCTCACAAATGTCTTGGATTTGTAGTTCATGAAAAGTTTCATTCTTTGAAAGAGTCTCTGAACAGTCTTGCCAGGGAAGTGGTGGTAAAATGGTTTTAGCACTTCTGTGAAAACTGTAGCCCTGATGATTAGAGATTATAATACACAGAAGACCTTGGAGAGTACATTAGATATTAACAACACTTGGAAGCTTAACTAGAAGCTGGTCAAAGAAAACCAACACAAATCCTTCTTTTCTTTTCTTTTCCTTTCCCACCATAGTTCAGTCATTTCACAGGCACAAAACATAAACAAAATGAGAATGAAAATGCTTAGTTCCAGCGTGGCTGTTGAGCTGCCTCAAAGAAGATTAAGTCGGTCTGGTTAACATCATTCATATGACAGAATAACAACTTAAATTGTGAGGCTCTGCCATGGCATATCCCAGATTTTGAAACCAATAAATGCTTCAGAATTGGGGTTCAGTATTTCCTAGAGTAACCCAATACGTCATGCAGCATTGTTTCTTAATTTTAGACTGAATTTTTGTCAGCTTTTTTTTTAAGCAAGTCTTAGTATGTATTTTTCCACTGACCACTAGGCAAGTCTGCAAGGGTTCAAGGGCTGAATTTACAGCCTTTTTGAAGACAACACATCATATCAGTGGTCATATTGGCGGGGCTAAAAAGTTGTCCTTCTGTAGGTGGTTGGGGTCCTGCCCTGGCAAGTTTTGGAGAGTAAATCTGAAAAGTCTCTTCAGGGAGCCATACAAAAGTTATGTATGAGGAGAAAGGCAGAAAATTACTATATCAGAAACAGTATACAAAACAAAGGATAGGATTAAGTAATTAATTTTCTAAGCAGGAGTCATCAGCTAGTGTCTTGAAATGCTTAGTAAATATGTTGCAATATATGTGAAAAGGTGGGGAAGGGACAAGCCAGCACCGACAGGTGATTTGCTTATTTATGGCTTGGTCCCGGCTAGAGCAGACAAACCATAGCATGATGGAATCATTAAGGCTGGAAAATACCTTTGAGATCATGGAGCCCAGCTATGTTCACCATTAAAACTTGTCTCCAAGTGCTATATCCACATGCCTTTTGAACGCTTCCAGACACGAAGACTCCATCATTTCCCTAGGCAGCCTGTTTCTATCTCTGACCATCATTTCCATGATTTTTTTTTTCCCAATATTCAATCTACATCTCCCCTGGAACAATTTGAGACCATTTCCTCTGGTTCTGTCACTTACTCCCTGGGAGAAAAGACTGACCCTCACTTGGCTACACCCTCCTTTCAGGCACTTGTAGAGGGCAATAAGGTCATCCCTGAGCCGCCTCTTCTCCAGGCTAAACACCCCCAGCTCCCTCAGCGTCTCCTCACAGCACATGGGCTCCAGACCCTTCACCAGCTCTGCTGCTTTTCTCTGGGCACACTCCAGCACCTCAATGTCTTTTGGGTAGTGAGAGGCCCAAAACTGAACACAGGATGTGAGGTGCAGCCTCACTAGTGCCCAGTACAGGGTGACGATCCCTTCCCTATTCCTGTTGGCCACACTGTGTCTGATACAAGCAAGGATGTCATTTCTTGACTTAGAGGTCAAGGAAATCAGAAACACCATGGTAAAGTCAAAAGTAAAACAGAAAATAACCTCCCTTTTGAAAAGGAAAAAATTAAATATAACCTGGTCTTCTACATGACAGCATCTTGACAACCACTTCAGTCAAAAGAGAGAGAGTGTGAGACATGGTAGGGTGCTTGGAGAAAGCTTTTTGTCCATTGACATCCAAGAGTGAAGGAAATGTTGAGGACAAATCACCTCAGCAAGGATGTTGCAGGATAGAGGCAGGTTTAACCAGGAGGCAGAACCTTCTCCTGTCAAGTAAGTTTGTAAAGCCTGGAATCCGTAACATTAGAAAGATGATGGGTAATCTGGGATTAGATTGAAGTATATAGAATATAGAAGAATATAGAATGTGGCTCGGATAGAAAAGACTGGGAGGGGCCTTTCTTCATTTTGTCCTGGACTCTGCAGGCCGTGCAATAAAGCAGCTAA